CCACTCAAATTGTTGTTGTCCAACTGAATTTTTTAAAAATGTCAACAATTATCAGGGGTGACAGTGACCTGGCTTTTTAAGGTTGGCTGCACAGTTCATTTGTCTTAAAAAATCAGGAGCCTTTGACGTTTCAGCAGTGCAGCATCCAGAATCCACAGAGACTTTAAAGGATACATTGGAAAGTAGGGGGTCTGAAGAATTTCAAAAGCCCTAGGCTTGCAAGTCTTTTCTTTTTTCTTTTTCTAACCCCCCCCCCTTCTGCTTTGGGGTTGTTTCTGGTTTTATGATTGAAACAGCTCCAATGAAGAAGAAGAGGAGGAGGAAGAAGAAGGAGATGGGAGTTATCTGCAGATGGTCTGCAGGCAAGAGAGCAATAGCTCAGGTGATCCCAACTCCATTTGTCCATTGCTTCTGCTTACATCAGAGGGAGAGGTGATACAACATGATTCCCTCTGGAAATCTGGTTGGTACCTACCACTATTTGGCTCTCCCTTTTCCTGAACTCTTTCTCGTACACTTAGTAATATATATATATATATATATATATATATATATTTCAACATATCATTTTCAACAATAATTAAACATCTTAGGCAATTTTTTTTTACTTCCATCAATCTCATCTGCGAATTTTCCAATCTAATCTCTAAATACACATTTCCCACTTCTTCAATTACATTTAATTCATAGCTAATATCCCCATTCTTTCTCTAATTTGCAATGTTTCATACATTTTGCCTTACAAAGCTTCTTGTAGTCCTACTAGTGTAATTTGTTGGTTACATTTGCTCTTCAAATAATTTGTATATTTCTTCCAATCTTCTGTGAACCTCTGGTCCCGCAGGTTTCGAATCCTTCCTGTCATTTTGTCCAATTCTGCATAGTCCATTAATTTTGTTTGCCATTCTTCTTTCGTCGGCATCTCGTCTTGTTTCCATTTCTGGGCTGTACACTTAGTATTCTGCCTTGTTGTCATGCAACTCCACTGTGCAATGATCCTCTAATCCGGAAGATAGCATATAGCCATCTTGGCCAATAGTGATAGCCCTCTCCTCTATGAATTTAGTTGGTGGCCTCCACAACATCTTGAAGGAGCAAATCCCATAGTTTAACTACACGCTGCTGTGTGAAGAAGTACTTTTTAAAATCACCTGGAATCCCCCATCGTTCAGCTTCGTTGGAAGACCATTTCATATTATGAGAGAGCCATATCCACTTTCTACACACCATGTGTGATTTCATGCTCCTCTAGCTTTCCCCACTTTAAATGCATTCCCCACACCCAAATGTTGGAGCATTGATCTATTCCCCACCCTTCCACCATAAGATATGGTTACCAGATTTTTTTCAATGAATCTGGGGACTCATTGAAGCAGCAACAGAGAGTCAGTAGTGGGGATGGTGAGGCAAAACACCCTGGGCCCAAGCTCACATGCATATTGTATAAAGGTGCAAAGCCCTTCTTTTGCATCCTGTGAAACATAAATGCTCAGAGTTGGTTTTTTTAAAAAAAAACTGGGCAATGGCCACCCACCTGTGACTCCTGAGCCTCCCCCAATCAGTCAAAACAAAGGGGGAAGGGGGCAGGAGATCACGGGAGGCTCAGGAATCACGGGCAGGTGGCCGTTGTCCAGTTTTTTTTTAAAAAAAAAAACTGAGCATTTATGTTTCACAGGGTGTGAAAGAATGGCTTTGCACCTTGCCTGGCAGAGAAACCGCATGCCTTGCACCCTTCCTGGGCAATGGCCGCCTGCCTGCGACTCCCAAGCCTCCCCTGATTTGTCACAACAAAGGGGGAAGGGGGCAGGAGATCTGTACTGCCGGATGTCCCTGGTTCCCCTTTGGCAGTGGCAGCAGCAGTAAGCAGTGAGCAGCTCCTGAACCCAGCCAGAGTGAACTGCACTACCAGGCTGGCTCCGGGCTACTGAGGCTGCCGCTGCCGCATTTCCTAGGGACAGATTTGCAAATCTGGGAACATTCCGGGGACGGAATTTGTCCAGGGACAAATTTGCAAATCCGGGGACGTCTGGTAACCCTACCATAAGACCCCAGGGCAGGTTACAAAAACACAATGAATAACTTTTGAAGCAAAGAAAAGAACCACAAAATATTAAAAATCATGAAATATTAGGGAGTTTTGGAGTGGGCCAAATTAGCTACTGGCCTCACTTCTCTAGGTGTTTGTACTGATATGCAAAGCCCTATACAGCTTGGGATCAGCGATCAGGACACCCAAAGGATCAGCTCCCTTATATAATCAGCTGACTCCTGCACTCTACAGCAGAGGGTTACCTGCAGGTACCATCTCATCAAGTTCATTCCACACAATGTTGGAACTGGGGCATGGTGGCATCTACCCTTTGGAACTCCTTCTCATTCCATACCTGATACGCACCATCTCTGCTATCTTTTCAGCTCCTATTGAAGACGTTCCTTTTTAAACAAGCTTTGTAAATGGAGTTTTTTTGGGGGGAAATACACAACTCATTATCTGCATTGGATTTGAAATTGTTTTTACATATTGTGTGGTTCTACATACGTTTTACGGCATTGTGAAATCCCTTCAAGAGGCTCCATAGGAAGCAGTTCCATATATGAAAAAAAAGGCATTGAACACACTTTCCAAGTTTCAGAAGTCAAGCATTGCATTTTCAGCAAGCAACAAACAGGGCTGTAGAATGGAATATAATGCATTATTTTCTATCTTCATGCTCTGTAGACAATCCTTTATTTTAGCCAAAGTACTAATATTTGCAATGGTGTTTTTTTAAAAAGGTCTGGTAGCCCTGCCTAGGGTGCAGAGCAGAGAGGATGCATATCTGCTCCTGCCAAGGTCTGTAGCATTCAATTGGCTGGGTGAAGCTACGTGAAGTCAAAAGCCTTTATTCCAAGTAGATCAAACCTGCTTAGACTGTGTACTAGCAATTAGCAAAGCAGGGGTCTTTTATCATTGTGCCTGCCTCAATATTTCTTTTGTGATTCACAAAGGACCCTCCGTAATAGCCAAGGTCTGATTGATGATAATTACACAAGCATCTCTTCAGGAGATAGCCAAAAAGGCTTTCTTTCCAGATTCTCAGTCAAAGAAGCTGTTTGCAATTAACACTTTTGTCTGGGCAATGTGTATTTAATTACTAGATGTTTCTCCTGTGTGCAGGCAAACAAAGAGGCATTTAACCCTCCAAACCTGGCCATCAAACTGAAATTTTGTTTGAATAAAAAGAGCTCATTTAGCTGTGTATAACTGTGCCTTGGCACAGTCACCTTGGATTCTGGCAGGTCTCCGGTGTCTTTGACAACCTCACAGTAGGCAAAAATTCAACAGGTCCACCTCTTCTTGGCATGAAGATACACGGATGTAGCAAGCTGTTATAATTCAAGCCCACCATTAGACCTCAAAGCCTCAGAACACTTCAGTATGTCAAATCTTTGACTTGTGAGCTAGTTGCAAAAATTACCTTCGTGTAAGCAGGCATTAAGGAGGTTCAGAACCCTCTTGACAAAGCCTTCAAGGAATTTTTAAGAAGTATTATAGCAGCGCTAGAAAGTCTAAGCAGACCCGTCTCCCATCCCTTTTCACATGTTAGTGCCTCTCACCTCTGCATCTGCTACCAAAAGTAGTCATCTCTCCACTTGCTCGGGTCAATGGGAAATTCAAAGGTCACAGGTTTCAGGGGACCAAAGCTATCCTGGGTACAGACAGCAGCCTCATCCAAGGCCCATCGAAGCTCCAATTTTGAGCATGCAGTAGTGCTAACAAGGGCTCAGGCAAGAGCCTAGAGGAAAGTCAATGGGCAATCCAGGGTAAGCAGAAGATCAGGCTCAAGACACAACGTGGCAGCAAGACATTGTTCCAGCAGCAGCAGCAGCAGAAGAAGTGTTTGGATTTGATATCCCGCTTTATCACTACCCTAAGGAGTCTCAAAGCAGCTAACAATCTCATTTCTTTTCCTCCCCCATAACAAACACTCTATGAGGTGAGTGGGGCTGAGAGACTTCAGAGAAGTGTGACTAGCCCAAGGTCACCCAGCAGCTGCATGTGGAGGAGCGGGGAAGCGAACCCAGTTCACCAGATTATTAGACTTCCGCTCTTAACCACTACACCACAGCAGCTCTCCCACCCTCACATTGAGGCTTCTAAGGCAGAGCTGCCCAAGGGTGAAGGAAGGAGAACTGGAACCAGGTGTGGGGGGCAGAGTAAACCGCTTGGCGGTGCATGCGCATGTACTGCTACATACCACACATGGGCGCACGCTGCTATGTACCACGCATGCGTGCACACCGCTATGCACCGCACATGTGCGCATGACACTACGTACCGCGTATGCACATGAACCGTACGGATGGTGGCAGGTTCCTTTGCTCACGGCTGCAGTGGCGGCAAAGGGATCCCGCCGCTGTCCGTACAGCACTCGAGCTGCGCCACGCATGCGCCGTACGCACGGTGCACATGCATGCGCCACCAGGCGGTTTGCCAACAGCACCGCTTGAGCGCCATATGGATGGCAGCAGAGGGTGCAGCCGTGAGCGGAGGATCCTCCAGATGCAGCAGCGGCAGTGCGATGGCGGTGGCTTGTGGTGCCACGCCTGGGGGGCACGGGTGAGAGCCCCCCACGGGGGGGGGCTTCTTGTCACCCCCCCCCAGAGATGGCACCTGGGTTGGACTGCCCCCCACCCCCTTCCTCCGCCCCTGGAGCTGCCACAACCCCACCCTAGAGGTTTCTCCACATGTGAGGGGCCCAACTCCTGAATAGCTCTTTATTCACAAGGAGTCATCTTCTGCAACTGAGCACTCAGCCTCCTGGCTGTGAGCATCTTGGTCTGCCTCCTGGTGCACCATCACTCCAGGAAGTTTAGGAGTGGCTCTGCCACTGCTTCAGAGGCTTTTCTGCAGGGAGAGATCTCTGCTGGTTGACCCTCAAAAGCATAGAATCATAGATTTGTTGAGTTGGAAGGGTCCCTGAGGATCATCTAGTCCAACCCCTTGCAGTGCAGAAATATGCAGTCAACCCATACGGGGATCGAACTTGCAACCTTGGCGTTATCAACACCAAGCTCTAACCAACTGAGCTATCAGCCAGCTCTTCCTGCTTGCCATTTCCTTCCACAACTCCTTTGTTCCCCCCCTGCTTCAAACACACTTAGACAAGCCACCTTTACAGTGAAGACGTTATATAATAGTATACTATTATATATACTATTATACTATATATACTATATACTATTATATAATAGTAGCAATAATAATAACGGCCTGAGTCAAAACAACTATGTTTTTCATGCACATTGTTGGCAGTGTCATGAAACACCCCTCCCTTTTCCTATTTCCTGTTTCCCATCCATCTGCATTGTCTTCTCTTCACCCCACTCTAAATGGGTTTCACTTGACCTCAGTGTAATCATGACATAGCCAAACATGATTGGCTATAGAACATGATGATGTCATCCAATTCACTATAACCAGGTGGGGAAACCATTTTTGTTTGTTTGCAGACTGAGGGCTGCGTTCCAATCTGGGCAACCTTCTGGGAGGCCAAACAGCAGTGGTGGCAATCAAATGGAAACTTTTACTTCTGCTCAGGAGGTTGGCTTCTACACACACGCACACACGCACACACACACACACACACACACTATCCTCCATTCAGGCAACCAGCAGGCATTTTCAGACTCCAAGGACATATTCCAGGAAGGGGAAAACACTTAAGGAGAGTATGAAATAGGGCTTCCGGCAAAGTAGGTATGGTTATGAAGGGGATATGGCCCAGGAAAAGGCCTGAGGGACGGGTAGAGTGTAGGAGTGCAAATATCCAGAGTGTGGGGTCAGCTGGGATTACTATGAGGAATTTTAAAATATGCAGCAAGTCATTGTGTCCACGATGAATGCATTGTGTTGACTGGGTTTGATACATTGACAATAATTTCTGATCAAATCCCACAACCCTCTGCATCTCTGGACATTTCCTCTACTGTCCATTTCTCTTGCTTGACAAGTCACGTACACAGCCCAGTTGCTTCGCCAGGCAGGCATCCTGGGCCATAAAGATAGTGGGCAAGTTTCTTTGATGTAGCTTTTCTAATAAGTTAATCTTAGGATGTTAATCTTAGGGCCAGGAAACAGATATCACCTGAAGGTGATAATGATCGCTGTCTTTCTGGCCATCCTTCTTATCATGTATATTGCTTGTTTATCACCTCAGGGGTTGCCAAATGCACTCCTTTGTAGTTCTGTTCTTTGTTTACCCCAGAAATATGTGTGCTTAATTAGTTATGGTAGTTTAACTTTGTCCCCACGTGGGGTTTGTTGAAATGCTCAGAAGAATCTGATTGGTTCTTATGAACACTCTGTAAAAAGTTCTTTTGTGAATAAAATGACCTGGGCTGGAGGGTGGAGAGACAAAGAGATTATTATAGGCACCCTTCCCAGAGTCTTGCTGGTTCAAGCCTCTGTGTGTATTCTTATTAATCAGAGTTCAATCCTTCCTTTACTTTGGGAACACCTCAGTAGAGAGGTCAAGCAGGTCATATTTCAACCTTGGCGCACTAATTATGATCTGTGGTGCAATCATCCCCATTATTGTAAATACCAAAAGAATAAACAAATGGTAACACTTTCTGCTACCACTTGCCAAACCTACCATTTCAGGTATTCATTCAGCAATGGTGGCTATCGAAAATGACTGGTGCTTCAAGGATCATTTAGCTGGACGCTACGCCTTGGCACGGTTTCCTTTCCACTGCTCCTTGCCATCGTTTCTGCTGTCGTGGCTTCTCATGACTTCTAGCCAATGTGGTTTTGTGTGTGAAATTGCATTCCACGTTTCAGCAGCTTGGAAGATAAAGCATGCCAGCGTTTGTCCGGGGCGCTGCCTGAAGCCAGTGAGCCAAGGCCTTTGGTTTTAATTTCCATTGAATTAGCACCAGCTTTGAAACATCTTTTTGTTTGTGTTGCATGTCCGGGAGTAGGTGAGTGAGCGAGTGTCTTTTCCAGTGATCTTGGGGGAATTTAATTGATCAAAAGATTGATTTAGTCTTGCACTTCCATAATAGGATTTGGATGCATAGAATTATAACTGCAGTGGAAAAGTATTATAACTTTCAGGCAACCTTAATAAGCCACAACCGTCTCAAAGGAAGGAAGCATTCAGAACGGGTTAGCTTCTTATCGACTTTGGGGAGTTCGGATAAGACCTAATTTTCAATTAGTCTTCCACTTCATTCATTTATTTAGATTTTCAATCCAATCTAGTCACAGGGCCTAGACTAGTACATAGCTTATCCTTCAGCCATTAGAGCAGCTCCGCAATTTATGTGCCAAATATGTTTGCATTCAGTGTGCATTCAGCAAAGGACATAAATGTGCAGGGTGTCATCCCTGAGGGGGGTGACATCACCGTCTGGCCCCCGGGATGCTCGCCCCGCCCCCGTGTGCACAGCATGTGTGCCGCTCTGGGTATCAGAGCAGCTAGCTCCACCTCTGTGGTATGTGGGACATTTCTACTTTTGTTTGTCAGTTTCATACCAGAGAATTTGGGATCTGATATCCCAGTAGGGACATGTGATAGCTCCTCCACCATCCCAAGACTCTTCTTATGTTCATTGAGTCTATAGCACATGGCGGAGGTGGTTTTAGGGTAGTGCAACTGGTGCCGTTGCAGTACGCTACAGGAGACACCACAACCATGCTGTAGAACGGGGTGTGAGAGGCTGGGGGCACCAAATTTTAGCACTGAAATTTGAGAGCCCAAAGTCCATCACTGCACAGGGATGGTGAACCTGTATCCTTTCAGATGTTCTCAGTATGTAACTCCCTGTAACAGGAGATCAGGAGTGAGAGGAGAAAGAGTTGGTTCTGGGTAGAAACATCCACTCTGAGGAATATATCACAAGCTAGAGAAAGGAGTCTCTGAGCTTAATGTGAAGGACAGTGTGTGGTGTCCTGTAAGAGTAATTAGGCCAGTAATTAACTGGGAGGCTGAGGCTGAGCCAGGAGAAGTAGAATATAGTCTACTTAGGACTCATTCCAGTCAGGAGGGGAGAGATTCTTCTACAAAAAAAGGAGACTCCCAAACCAGTTAAGAGGGGTGTGGAGATCCCTTGGGTCTGTTACTTGGAGTACCTCAGGAGTAGGGTTGTCTAAGGGGTATGTAACTGGCAGGAAGTACCACCTTGTGTAAAAACCAAAGTATTAAGTGGCAACAGCTGTGCAACAACTGAGAAAGAACTGAAGTGAAATAGCATTGTAATCTGAAGTATCCTATGTTTTGCCCACTTTGTGTCATAAACTTTCTTTGTTTCATAAAATCTTTATTGTTTATTTGATCAAAAAACAACAACAGTTTGTAACTCCCATCATCCCTGACTACTGGCTTTGATTGCTGGAATTGCTGGAAGTTGTTGGAGTCCAACAACCTTTGGAGTGATATAGGTCCCCTAGCCCTACTGCAGAACAAAATAATAAAATTGTAGAGTTGGAAGGGTCCCCAAGGGTCATCGAGTCCAACCCCCTGCAATGCAGGATCTCAACTGAAGCATTCATGAGAGATGGCCATCCAGCCTCTTCTTAAAAACCTCCAAGGAAGGAGAGTCCACCGCCTTCTGAAAGAGTCCATTCCATGGTCAAACAGCTCTTACTGCCAGAAAGTTCTTCCTTCCTGATTCTTATATTATGTGTAGCATCTGCTAGATCAAATGTGGGGCAGCATTGCCCTCCATATGAGAATCATCCCTGATCATTGGCCATGCTTGCTAGGGCTGATGGAAGTTGAAGTTCAGCAAAATCTAGAGGGCCAAAGGTTAACCACTCTTGCTTCTGTTGTTATGGACAACATCTCCATTTGTCAAGGATATTGGGAGTTATAGTCCACAACATACGGAGGGCACCACTTTGGCTAACCCATCATATATTTTCACGTCTTCCAGCTTCAGAAGCAGTCAGCTACAAGATCATCTTAATTTCTTTCTTTTCTTTTTCCTCGCACAGACAAGTCACCAAACTGTGGCGAGATCCTTTCGCTTCTCTCGTGAGACCTACAAATCCCTCCTCTGCATTAGTTGCTAAAACTCTCCCTGATGCTGCCACGGGAACGGAAGGGCACAAAACACTCCACATAAGCTGGTTATTTTGATGGCAGCTTCTTTCAAGGCAAGAAATATTAAAGGTAGGAAACTCATCTGAGCTTCACTTCATCTGAAACTTCTGTTCATCTATATGCTAATTCAAGCTGGATGCAAGGCTGGTTCTTCCAGAAGACTGTGCTGCTAATACCTTTTTAACACATAATTTAATATTGTAATTTGGGGGCAGGCAGTAAAACTTAGTGCCGTCTGTTGTTTTCTAGTCTGCAGCTTATTTCCTTGAGGGGAGCTGCAGTGAGCGCTTGCTTCTCAGCCGAAAGGACAGAGAGGTCTGTCAATCTGTTCTGCCCCACTGTACGTCTTAGCCACATATGCAGATGCTGGAAGAGCAGTAAATGACATATTGCAGTGTGGCTCCCCTCCCCACAAAGAAAATTACATGCCACAGTGGTGTTAGGGAGGTTCTGTTTTCACACTGACAACAGGCTCACTTATCGCTGAAGTGCTGCCATTCGCCTGAGACTCGCCGGCAAAAATTCATTGAGAGCGTTGACTTTAAGACCTTTGCCGGTGCAGAATTAATAGTCACCTCTCGATGAAGTGAACCCAATTTAATTATCATGCGCAAGCGGGTAGTCTAGAACCTGGGAGCGTTCCTTTCCCCCCCTTTCCTTCCCCCAGCATGGAGAAGCGATTTGCCCATTTAACCTTATCTTGTTTCAAATGCCAATGCCACCTCGTAAATAACACAAAAGAGATGGGCTTGGGGGGATGGGTATAGATTCATGGACTCATAAACGGGGATGCTTTAGTCACAGGCTGCACTTTCGAAGAGAGATGATCCCAGCCGCTTTGTTCTGGCTTTTGATAGACACCCTTTTCAGATAACAGTCGATGCAGCCAAGCAAGACACCTTGCAGGGGAAATGATACTGCACTTTTAGATCAGCTAAGGGCCCCTGCCAACATCCTTTTTATTGTGCATTCATGATTATTTGTGCTTGT